CGTCTGACTGAAAGGATTGCAGTGGGTAGTCGACATACTAAGGTTTCTGATCCTTATCTTCTATGGCATCAGAGAGGCTTCCGTGGATACGGAATCGATGATCAAAGAACTCTTTTCTAGTCATATTAGGCTTACGCCTGCCAGCAGCAATTTGTTTAATATGGGGCATCATGTCTTTCGTTTGGACGCCAGGTGAGGTGATGATTCGGTGTGATGGTGGATGATTTCCAAGCTATGTTCTTGGTGAAATCAGTGTAGCTTATTTACGGGAAGAGGTTGAAGAAGGAATCTTACGAGCTAGTTTTATGTAATTGTTCACAGCCAAGTCTTCAGCTGGCTTCGGATGAGGCGGATGGAAATTGAGACTGACACGAGATCTACATGGTGGAGCCGATGAAGATATACCCGAGTGAAACAGGGGTAAGGCGGTCGTGAACGAGTTCCCAAGTTTAGCTACAAGAATGGGAACGTGGAGCCGATAACCGTTGGCCAATGAAGGCATGATATTAAGGTCCCTTCGCTAAGAGACAGCAAGTGATACATGCTAGCTATACAACTGTAGTACGTCTGATGAAGTGGATAGAGCCAGATGATTGCACGGAAGTTGAGATTTGGGATGGGGCGTTTAGCTATGCAGGATGTGAGAAGAAGATCATAGATTAAGAGCATCTAAATACAAAATCAGACTTAGGTGACGTGGGTCACCAACTTCTTATGTACGGTTCCACTTTCTAATCTATCCAGCCCTTCTTGAACTTTTTGAAGCCCATTGAGAACTTCAAATTCTAAAGGTGTGATCTGGCCATTTCCCAGCCATTTATCGAGTCCCCCCCAAAGCCAACGACCAAGCTCAACACCAGCCGCAGAGGGCTGGCCTGCCATTGTCTTCCCCATGATCTCACCACTGTAAACTGAATTTAGTTGTACGCCATCAATAGCTGCGCCCGTATACTTAATTGCAATAGCTACTGTTGCTGGCTTCTGGCAGCAGTCCACAATCTGTGAAATAGTTTCCTCTGTGACAACAGTATCAAACGCGAGACGTAGATCGGGTGCGACGGATTTGATCTTGGTGATGAGGTCTGGATCCGACCTCGAAAAAGCATAATCGGCACCTCTGGCTTGTGCCTGGGCTGTAGTTTCATTGCTTGATGTAACTGCAACCACACTATAGCCAGAGATCTTTGCAAGCTGAACAGCAAGCTTGCCTACTCCTCCGTTGGCACCCTATGGAATAATTAGTATTTCCAGCAGGGAATAGACAACTGCAAATACTTGCCCAGATAAGGACGTGAATGGAAGCGACGTTACTTCTGTTAGTAACCTTGGCCAAACCCAAGCCAAGGTAAAGGCCGCAAGCAGCCGTACAGAGACTGAATGGAAGAGTAGATAGCCCAAGCACTGGTATCTCAGATTTTATCTGGAAGCATGATCAGCCCTGATGTCTTCAGCACCCTACGGACCTCTTCGTTCATGACAAGTCTATGATGACTTACTTTACAGCAAGAGTCCTCCTGAACCAATGCATGAGTTTGATAGGAACATCCGTCGCTGTACCCGACTGTTCCAATACTCACAATGAGGTCACCCTCTTGGAACCTCTGGGACTCTCCAGGGTCAACAACATGCCCAACTATATCCATGCCGAGGACTAAAAATAGTCAGAGACTCATTAAATGGCATTGGTAGAAAGCTCAGTTGAGACTAAGCATACCATGAGGGAACGATGTAATGAATAAATTCTTCTTAATCCTCTTCCAGTCCAAGTGGTTCAGAGATGTTGCCAATACTTTGACTTGGATCTGAGTAGGTCCAGGAGGAGCCGGGTCATAGGCCTCCAGCTGCAAGCTTCCAAATGGAGCCGCTAGAACAAGCCGCTTAGCCATGATGAATGATGTGATAAAAGGGTGGAAATTTGGTCCAAAATTAATACGAGGGATATCTTTGCATATCGAGACTGGGCTTTCCAATCTTTATCGAAAGGGCCATCTTGCATTTTCTTCAGGTCCGTCTGATCACGATCGACATTGGGGCTGCTAATTTGTAACACGTACTCCGTAGAGACTCGTGACCCCAGAGGTACAGGGAAGTGGAGAGTACGGGACGGGAATTCCGGCGTCGGCATGTGGAGGCAGGACTCCGGCTCAAAGAAGGCGGAACTTGGGAAGCCATGCTTTGAAAATGGGCATATTATGAGACTATGGTAGCATTTCCGAATGTCAAGCAAAGTTAACCAGTCCAATCATTTCAAGTCCCCTGACGTTAAAACAAACCTTGATCATGGCTAAACAGGACAGTCCCCTTGACGTGGTTATAATTGGTGCCGGGCTCGCCGGACTTTTGGCCGCCCGAGTACTACGCGAAAAACACAACGTCAAAGTATACGAACGGTCATCTACACCCATCGAAGTTGGTGCCGCTATTAATGTTGGTCCAAATGGTGTTCGGATCCTCGACACCCTTGGTTTCGACCGTTCAAAAGCTGGATCGCTTCCTGTTGGAGCTACCAACGTGTTCACCAAGGACGGCCATCTGCAACTGAATGAGAAGAATAGTTATGTGGTTAAATACGGCGCTGACTGGCTTTTTCAACATCGGGCAGATCTCAGAGGCGAGTTCCTGCGTTTGGCGACGGAAGATACAGGCATTTCTGGAATACCAGGCAGACCGGCTGAGGTGCTTTGGGATCAGAAGGTCATCGATATCGATCCAGAAGAAGGCCGCATCACACTCTCATCGGGTGAACATGTCAAAGCAGATCTTGTGATTGGTAAGTTATTGAGACATTGCCTGTTTGGGCTAATCGACTGACGTGCGACAGCTGCGGATGGCATCAAGTCCATGGTGAGGCCTTATGTAGTTGGTGATGCTGCGTTCCAGACAGCAAGACCATCTGGCTTATCAGCCTTCCGTTTCACGCTGGAGCTTGACGACATCAAATCAGCTCTCAAGGAACTACCGGATATTTTACAAGCTGATCAGCCTACATGCTTGTCTATGGTGTACTCTTTCGACAGCACCATGCGATCTGTTGTCATGTATCCCTGTCGGAACTTTGAACTTCTCAACTTTGTGTGCATCGTTCCAGATAGCAGCCTCAAGGAGAAGACAACAGAATCTTGGACGGCTTCGGGGGATAAGGAAGAGCTTATGTCACTATTCTCAGACTTTCCCTCTTGGGTACACGATTATTTCCGGTAAGATCTGCTCTATGCCATCTAACTTTGTACTCCAGAGATACCCACTAACTTTAACAACAGAATCGCAAAGAATATCAAACTCTGGCAGCTTCGAGACCAGGATCCGTTACCAATTTACATTCGCGGTCGGACAGTTCTGATTGGCGATGCGGCCCACGCCATGACGCCTCACCAAGGACAGGGCGGAACACAAGCTGTAGAAGACGCAGAGGGATTCAGACTGTTCCTTCAGAATGGCATTACTAGCGAACATGTTCCTGAGCTGCTGAAAGACTTTGATTCCGTCCGCAGGCCACGTGCAAGCCAGATCCAGAACAATACTAGAAAGGCCAAGAACAAAAGGACTGCAGAGGAGGTGTATATGTTTGAGAAGATAAATTGGACATACGGTGGGATTATGGAGGAGCTCAAAGCAGTCAAAGAAAGAGTGAGCAGCTAAATTACTCTCGTCCTGATGACAGTGTAACTTTACAATCCTGTTTCTCAATACAATTTGGATAAGCAACAGGCTCACCATCTTGCCAGAAACTTGTCAACGTCCGTGGCGGTAACAAGGCTGGCTGCTTCCCCAGAACCGGCTAGAGACATGGACGAATGACTCTGTGCCCAGCCTGGCTGTAGATTGTCTGTCAAGACCCCTGCTCACCTGGAATGATAAATGTCTCTTGGCAAGAGTCGACATGGGGAATATGATTCGACTGTCAGCATAGCGATTGACTTTCGGGATCTATCAGCCAGCCTCGACGATACTAGAAGTAGCTAAGAATTCTCAGCGGGGTTGGCTTCAGACCCGATGGTGTCCAATTTCCCCCGCTAATTGATTCTAAGTAACGCCACATACACGACCTCACAGATATTACCAATATCTCCTCGCCATCTGTCAGTCTGGACCGATAAAGACCAAATCATTATGGCTGACATTCTCAGGCATGTTCCACTTCCAGCCTTCAAACCACATGTCTCACTATTCTTCACCGCCATCATGCAAGTCTCTTTTCCGCCGATGCTGATATATGAGGCTAGCGCAACGGCCTGAGGCTGGCTGATAAGAATATGAGATCAAGACCTGGCACGAACGCCTATGAAGCGACGTAACCCCCACCCCCTTCATGAAAGTGACGCCTTCTCGTAAAGCCAAAACGTCGTGAAAACAATTTCCGACTGAAATGGTGACTCGAATCAAGCCAGTTGCTCCCTTGCAAGCCATGATTACAGAAATGGAAGCCACTGTGCCCCCAACGTGCCAGCTGAATGGTCCGAGAATCTTCATGCGTGATATCTGATTGCACACGTCATGATTCATGTGGGCTTGTAACAGTCAGGCTATGGCTTTTCGGATTTTGAACTTGGCAATGCCACTGAGATATTGGAGACTGCTCATGCGGAAGATGCATCAGCAGAATGACAGAGTATAGTATGAAATATAGAGCTCGCTACAGTTTCTAGGCTCATTTCCTACTCAGACCCCCTCCAGTGGCATCTAAGAAGCCTTTCCTCTTACCTCCAGTTCATACTACATCCATCCAGTAGGGTTCTAACCAATTTTAAAAGTTGCTGCTTAAATATCGAGGCTGTGAATCAAGATGCGTATCCAAGGAGTATAGGCCAAGCAAGCATATGGATCACGTCGATCCCAATACTGTCTCTCAGGTAATGAATACCGAATTGATAATATTGATTGGTAGGCAGGCTAACGAAGCTGGCTATTTAGAAAGTTTTCAAATTGAGGGGAAAGAGTGACATTCTGAGAAGGAAAGAAAAAAACAGAAAATTAAAAGTTGAAAGCAGCACACCATGTGCTCACATGTCCAGATCGTCAGGCAGGGGGAGGAATTTCTTCTCCTGGTGGAGTTCCTTGGCCTTCTCCTCTCCCAACCTTGCACGAAGATTAGCTTCGATCGTGTCCTTGAACCCCTGGACATGCACATCGTCGTCAATAGTCTTGTTGACCGTGTGGAGCAGCTTGATAACATGCCTCAGCGCGTCATCCCGGCTTGTGTACTCGGTCTGAGTCGTGACATGATACTGCAGCGAGCGTGACGCGACCCAGCAATCGTTGTCCGTTTTGCGGGTTAGACCGATCTTCTCGTAATTCGCCTTCATATCCTTGGACAGTGACTCGAGTGTGTTGATAAGACTGTCGGTGTCGCTGTTTGGTAGGCTCTGGAATTCTGACCTCAGATTCCGGAGACGGTCCCAGAAGTTCCAGGCAGCATCTGCTTCGTGACGCCGGTCCTCTTCATTTCTGCTGTTGATTGATACAGCGTTGTCGATGTCACTGTCTCCAAACAAGTCGTAGAAGAACCCCTTGGTCACTGTCAATATCTTTCTCTGTCTTTCTGTTTGTCCCTTGGACTTACACTCTGCTTGTCCCTGGCGTTGTTGAGCGCGTCGCGTGCCCTCATGTGGATTTCATGAAGATTGTTGAAGTTGCCCTCGGCCCAACTGACAGTCCTGTCAAGGCCCCCAAAGTCACATAGGATACGATCTTTCAATGCCCTTATGTTTGCAATGACTTCAGATGTTTCGCCAGTTTCCTGCATTGACTCTGCCGCTTCAATATTTTCGTCGTCAATGACCTTTTCACAGTACTCAGCGAGTGCTTTAAAACATCCCACAACGATTGGCAAGGAGGGGACACCGCCGCTGCCTATTTCATCATCGGCATTTGCGTACTTGAGTAGTTCACCGACGAAATCAATAAGGACCTTGTACGCGGTGTCCATCAGAACGTCACGCTCATTAAAGATCTTTGTAGCAGCGGAGATGTATCTGTTTGTCTGAGCCCGCATGCGATCGCCCAGATTACGAGCACTATTTTCCTGGATATCCAGATCAGATTTGTGTGTTTCTAACGGTGGATTAGCACGTCTGCCTGACAGATAGCGATAGCATTGCCCTACCCATGGTGCTGAGCCAGCTGGAGAATTGATTGTCGTAATCCGGCATCTCCACTATCGATATTCTGTCCTCGATAAGTTTTGCTTCTTGAAGGAAAATGAGATTATGGTAGTTTTGTTTCTGATACTTGCGACGGAAATCTCTACTTCTCTCATTTATTGAGGACGGCTTAACATGGAGGGGGGAGTGTTAAACTACTCAATGTCCACCGGTCGGTCAAGCTGCCCATCCGAGACCACGCATGAGCCACTTTTCATACTCTACGGGTCCTTGTCTTGAGATTAGTGATAATACTTCACAAACTCGTAATCGTATTGCCTGGCACCGGGAAGAGCGGCCTTCCGAGCACGACGACTGGATCTTGGCTATTGATGAATATCCAATGTGAGCAAGTACTGTAGTCTAGAATTACGGTGGCTAAGCTGATGTCTTAAGCCACCGAAGTGATGAAGAGTGTATTTGAGCATTTCAAGGGTCTCCAAAGAAAGATCATGTTCCAGTCTCATAAAATTACCCCGCTAAATTCTCGATGTCCACAGCTTGGCTCCCCCGCTTCCCGTGAAGATCACCTATCGGAAGCTCCGCCTGGCCCGATTGAGGATTGTCAAGTTTCCAAATCTGGCATCCTTTCAGCTCTACAGAAAATCAATAATTTCCACCATGCTCTTTTCCAGTATCACATGAGTGACTTGCAACAGCGGATGTTCAGGTAGCCACGGACTGGCTACAACGAGATAGTTCCATTATGTTCCATTATTCTATGGAATCAAAGAAACCCGTGGCTTTAACATCGAGGTCTTGCTGGACATGCTGTGTATAAAAGGAGCCACTTCCTGCTATAATTCGAGTGTAGACAACCAAGCATCTACACAAACATATCCAACACTTTCACAACATTAGCCCAATCCGCTTACACTTTGTGACCCTTTTCAACACCTTATCATCATGTCTTTGAACAAAGCTGAAGCTCTTGCTGAGCTCGAGAAGGCGAACCAGGAGCGTCTCAAGAAGGAGTACAGTGGCAAAGCTGGTACCAAGTTTGTCACTGAGGTCCGAGAGTCCATGCTCTTCCAGTATAACTGGGCGGACCTGCTCTCCGCAGCCCCAACTGCATTATCCCTGCTCGGAGCCTGTCATGTTGCATCCGCCAGCGAGGAGGCTTCTGCCATTCGTCTTGGGGGTTCTTGTATGCCCAAGGGCGGCTGGCAGTACCTCAAGGTTGCCGAGTCGCCAACCCTGAAAGCCTGTCTGGTATATGTTGGCGATTGTGGTGCTAAGACATTCCACATCGCCGCCAGCAACATGGATGCCATCGCAGGAACGTCTGGAGACTTGACTGAAATTGTAAGTAAATACATTCACCAGATTACGAGAACTCTTACCAATATCTCTTGCGCAACAGGTGACCGAAGTTATTCGCGCAACTCAAAAGCTTCCCGAGCCTGGCTATGCCAGAATCCTTGACAACAAGCTTATCCAGCTCAGACGTCTTTCTGATAGCTGCCTCAAGTATGCAGAGGACACTGAAAAGGCTTTCGATACTTGGTTGCTCTGCGTCACGGAGTTCCATACCGCTTCGGTTCAGAAGCATGGTACCACCGAAGCAGAGGCAGAGGCCAACAACTCTCTGAAGCTACAGGCCCAGATTGAAGCGACATACACTCAGAAGGAGGTCGACTCGGCTGAGTCCCACGCTCAGAATATGCTCACTTCCTTGAACAAAGCCGAAGCAGCTTTTCAGAAAGCAAACGATGATATTCCATCTGGTGAGCAATATCGAAGCAGCGTGAATCCTAGGCACTAATCACAAGTTGCAGCTTGGGAAACCTGCGCTATGGGTGCTATCAACGCAATCGCGCAGGCAGGTCCCTCCATTGTTGCCCAAGCTTTGCCGGCAATTATCAACGGCATGAACCCCATGTCTGCTGTCAACTCCATGGCCAGTGCCTTTGGCAAGGCTGCAACAGACGGCGCTACTACCATCCCCGGTAGCGCTCCCTTGGCCGGTGCGTTGTTGGGTGCCTCTGCTGGCCAATCCGCTGCCAAGGGTGCCAAAGGCTCCCCTCTTGTCCAGGCCGATCAAACTCCACCCGCAGACCCCGCTTATGCAGCTGCACCCCTTATATCTCCCTTCCTGACCAACCTGTACTCGTATCTCACTACCGGCCCCGACGGTGGCATCGACTGGTCTAAGTTCAAGGACAGCAAGAAGGGACCAGATGGCAAGGTCCAAGAGGCTCATGGAATTACTTGGCTGTTGACCAATGTCAAGCAGCAGGAGAAGTCGGCACAGCTTGGAACAGAAGAGCCCAGCGTTGAGCTGAAGGGTGCTTTCGCCAAAATGACCTCCACAATTGAGGGAATCAAAGCTGCAGTGCTCAAGTCATCAGACATGGCATCTGGTGGTACATCCGCCGATGTAATTAAGAAGTGGCAGGACGATATCAAAGATGCCAAAACCACTGTGCTCAAGCTTGAGACCACAGCGAAGTCATTCCCAGGATCATCAGCCAGTACACCACAGCTCCGAAACCTAAAGATCAACGTACCTCCCACTGATCACTCTGCCGCAACTGCTGCTCTCAGTGCCGCCACCGAGAAGCTTGCCATCAACCAAAATGCTCTCGATGCGGCGCAACAGACCTACCAGAAAGCAGCCGAAAGCGCCCTCAAGGTTCAGAAAGAGCTTACAGCTATTCAGACCAAGCTCAAGGGACTCGAGGTCGAGGGTCAAACGCTAGAGAAGGTCAAGGAGATTCTGGTTGACTGTATTGCAACTCTTGTCCAGCTCAAGGTCCAGATTAGCAAGCTTAAGAGCTTCTTTGGCGCTCTGTCCACTATGGTCAGGGTTGTTGTTCAGAACAAGGTGAAGAAGTTTGACGAAGATGTCTCAAGCGTCGCTACAGATGCAAACAAGAAACAGATGCTCCGCCTTACAGATATGGACATCGAGATTATTTACAGCAGCACCCTCCAGATCAAGGCTTACTTTGAACTTCTCCAGACCATCGCTCGCATGTACTGCCGCATGCACGTGGACCACGTTTCTAAGGGCATGGAGTTGGTCTGGGATCTCAGCAAGGTTGTCAAAGACCCAGATGTTGTTCGCGAGAAGCGAAAGGCCCTCAACGACTGGGCTGATGGCGCATCTCAGGCCATCATGAAAACGGTAACCGAGAAGCAGAACGAGATCAAGGATGGCCTTCAGTCACGAATCGAGAACATCGCTGAGCAGACTCAGATGCTGGAGAAGGTTGGTGTTAAAACCGACCCGGCATTTACTGCTGCGATGAAGACTGGAGCCGCCACTGTTACGGAGCATGTTGAGAAAACCATGCCCCAGACACTGGCGATTGAAGTCAGTGAGGATGTCAGTTGCTAAATGACTGGGTCAAGTCTAGCCGAGATCTTAGTGAGAGTTGTGAATGAGAGCTAGTTCTCGTTATGATGTTTAGTTTATCATTTTAATAATATGCTTTTACAGAAGCAATATTCTGCTGTCCAATGATTCAGTATAAGGGAAAATTAACAGCCTTCTGCGATAATCTGAACACCTTTCCAAGTGCTTGAAGCTTGTAGCGGACCTAGGATGTAGGTATGCTTGTAGCTCAGAGTAAAGAAGCAATGAATACAAAAAGCTTACGTGGCGATTTTATCTCAATTATCCAGATGTTCTATTTCGACTTATGGAGCTTTAGCATGATGTAACAAATAGAAAGAAATAAAATCGGCCATCGGGTAGGTTAAGGGAAATGGGAGCTAAAAAGTTCCTTCTAAAATTAATCCAAACATATGAACCTTTTGCGCTAGAACCTTCCAATGAGACCCAAGCTTGTGTATTTCTAAAAGACTGGTCGATTGAAACGCTTTTGCTAACAAGCTTGCTGCTAGACATAGGCTCAAGCAACAAAATTAGATTTAGCATAACGAACTATTGATTTTATAGCTGTATCCTACTTGGTCCAGATGGAATGCGCTCTTTTTATCCTTCCAGGGCATCACTTACTAATAATGCGCCAAGCGCTACTGAGCGAAAATTTGGGGCTTGCTGCCTAGATCAGCACTAGCGTTCTTTAAAACACTATTCGTCGTGTTGTCGTAATCTGTCCGCTCACAACATCTTGAACATATTGAATCTATCGTTTCACACACTATGGGCTACTCTGAAGTTCTCTGCCACATTTGTGGTGTCAGTTTCAATATTAGCCGCTCTCGAACAGACAAAGAGCCTCGAAGCGCAGCCTGGGGCAGCAGCCTCGCCGTCAACCCTGAAAACAGTCACGGCCGGTGGGGATGCTACTACGCCAAGAGAGACGGGGTCCAAGAACCTGGAAATGCGTCCTTGGAACCAGTCAAGTATATCCCGCCAAAAATGGACCCAGAAGATTCGTCCGATGATGGATGGACGTCAGACACGCCAGATGATGAGTGGGAACACATCGCTGGACCAGAATGCGAGTACAACGGAGCCTACAACGGAAATCATATCTCTGCAGAAGCCATGAAACACTGTCAAACATCCCAGTGTCTTGTGCCAAAAGGCGATAACTGGCAGCCTGAGAGAGACGACCAAGACTTTGAAGCTTTGGGCAAATTCTTCGTCAGCGGTTTGTCGGACGACATGCCCAGTAGAGATATGGGTTGGCCGTCTGTTTCTCCCTCGCGTCATGGCATGAGCGATGTCAGAGCTGAGAACATTATTTGGGATGCTGAAGATGCGGACGAGTATTGTATGCCCTTTCATCCGACCTGCTTCGAGATATTCAAGAGAGTCACGTTATATCGGTATGGAACTGTGGATGTTGAGTGCTTGATGCAATGGTGGCGTCTTGAACCGGAGTACGAAGATTTCCACGGTTTTCCTCGTCATCCTGCTGTTAAACAGGCTGCGGAGCAGTGGTGGAGTCACGAACGTGGAGGCGAATTCCTAGTGGCCAACCCTTGCTTTGTGCCTGGATTGGACGATCTTCTTCAGTCGACACAGAGCGTGGAACATACCCTTGAGAATGGGTCTAGCCTTTCTAGAACTACGATATCAACGGAGCCAGCCCCTTCCGACCCATTCTCAAGGCTTCCTAGCGAGATGATTCGTGAGATTCTCATCCATCTCAGTTTCAAGGACCTTGCCAACCTCCGACTCACCTCTCGCGTATTTCTGCATCTGCCCAACACTGTATTGTACGAGGTGACAGTTCGAGAAACTCCTTGGTTGTATGAGGCATGGTCGTCATTGCCTATCTCGTTCTGGGCCACAACAACTCAAGCAGAGATCGACCAGGAGATGGAACGTAGAGGTAGTATTAGTACAACTCCTCATCCAGCAAAGCTACTCAGCAAAAGCGAAACAGATTGGCTGCGTCTTCAAGTCGAGGTGTCTAAGAACTGGAAAACATTGCTTGGACTGCAGAATCGGCGCAGAATATGGGACGATTGCCAAGAGATTTTGAATCGGGTGGATGCATACAGGAAGCAAGGCAAGATGTGAGGATTCTTGAGCTTATCTCACTTTCCATAGTTGACATCTATAGCGGCTTGAAATGTAGTAAATTGACATAACTGCCTCTAAAATACTTAACGAAGCGTTAATCAGCCTAACCAAGCTTTGAGAGACGGTCCAAAACATCATCCTCCCAAGGATAATCATCGCTCTTAATCTTTCCAAATGTCGGCAACAAAACAGCCTCATCAATCTCAGCGTACTTTCCACGCTCAATATGCACGAGCTGCCCATTCTTCGACGAATCAGCCATAAGGAACGCGGCGCAACGAGCGACAACAGAAGCGGGCTGCAGCTCAACGTTGATGGCGTCAAGAAGAGCCTTCAGCGACGGCAAGACACTGCTGTCTGTCCAGCTAGGGGCGAGTGTATTAACGCGGATGGGGAGTTGAGCAGCGGCCAGCAGGGGGACGAGACCGCGTCCCCAGCCCAGGACACCGTGTTTGGCGGTAGCTGGGATGTTAGTAAAACACGATGACGTAGGGATTCAGTGACTCACAGTAATCCACCGCTCGAACACGCTGAAGACCGGTTGTCGAGCCACTGATGAGAATGCTACCTCCCTCAGGTTGTTGTCTAAGATAGTTAATAGCTAGCGTCGAAGTGTTGATGACTCCCTTCAAGCTAATGTCAAGAAGCTGGTGCGAAGGCTCCTTCAAGTCACCATTCTCATCAACCTCAGTAGCCAAGTAATCCGTCCTGGGTCCAACACCAGCATTCGCAAAAACATGGTCAATACGACCATAAACCTCCTTAGCCTTCTTGAAAAGCGCAATCAAATCACCCCAGACTGAAACATCGGTCTTGACAAAGGTAAATGATCCCTTGTGCTCCTCCGGGGGAGGCTGCACATCGCCACTGACTACCGAGGCGCCAAGCGACAAAAGCAAGTCAACAGTGGATAAACCAATACCGGAAGATCCTCCTATCAAGGATGTATTGTTAGCTCGTATTCCGCTGGTCGCGTAGGGGGGTTACATACCTGTTACGATGACAACCTTGCCCTTGAGGGCCTCCAACTTTTGATCGTCGATAGTAAATTCAGCCATGGTTTTTTTTATATCTTGAAACGTGAAGAAGCAGAAAGACGCGGTGAGAAGAAACTCGAAGGTAGCAGCAGTGGCACTGACTAAAATACGAAAAGTTACATTGGAATTCGTCCACACCGGTTCAGGGTCCTTGGTGGAACCGGGGAATCCACAGCAACTCCCGCAAGTCGTACGAGTTCTCATCTTGCATTAACCGTTGGTGGGTAAACTCTTTGTTTCTGCTCTGTAGTCCCAAGTCTAGTCGAGGACTAGATCTTACATCCATGCTGGGTATCCATATTTGCTGGGCATGTACGCGATCACGTGTTTTGTAATGCTCATTTGCCACTGGTTCTCTTGGTGAAATAACCGGAGAAAGGCGCCCGGGGTGTTGGTTCTGTCGGAAATGGATCTCTGCAGAAGGATCTGATCGGCACTGATGTAACAATCCGTTACGAGCGAGACATCCAGAACGAGATGTCTTCACATGCATACCTTTTTCTATCATTCCATATCTACGCTTTGAACATGACTATCTCTTGGCTTCGGACACCAGTAGATCATCCGCAGACCAAAACACAATCTAATGAGGCTGACCAAGACACTAGGACGTGCGGGCCGCCCGGGGACAAAGTGGACGTTCCAGAAAAAGCAGCCAATATCCTTAGCCTCGGAGCCATTTGCGGTCAAATTGCTCCGCAAATATTGAACTAAAACTTTTGAGACAGCCGTTGATTCGAGTTCGTCATCTCTTAGTTCACTGCTAGGACCCGTTTTCTAATTGGCCCCCTATGTTTGAACCGGTACGCTAGCTGGGGTATACGAATATGAACGAGTCTCGGAAACAACGCGAGAAATAATTGAACAGTGACAGGGAATATTCTAGTGGGCCTTTTCGGACTGTTTATGTCACAACGGAGTTGCATGCTGCGTATGCCGGTTTTCCTGAGGGGCTACGAGCATGGTTGCCGGCCCAAAATTTCCGGGACGTTGGTTATGCCGTTTGATATTAAATCTGGCAGATACAGATCTCGAAATCGTCCCTGACCTTGTTGTTTGTTCCTCTGTTTATTGCCATTTTTTGTCGTTCGCCTTGAATCACCGACATGGCTCCAGTAGCCGGTGAGGGCGTCCCCCTTCTATGGATCACTATTGTGATGCTCACGCTATCGTGGATCTTTCTGAGTGCGCGTCTTGGAGTTCGAAAATGGAAAGATAATCTTGGCTTGGACGATTGGCTTATGTTTGCGGGTTTGGTATGTATTCAGGTGGAGTTTGAAGACTGCGACTGACGAGAGACAGATTCTGTATACGGTTACGGCTGCGCTGGTTATTACGTGCTGTTTCCACGGAGCAGGTCAGCATCGAGATGCTATTGAAACAAAGGATGTTATGATGGGAACAAAGGTACGTGTTGCTCCGATAGCCATGGTGCAGTTGCTGACGCATCACATCACAGCTCTTCTTCATCGCCCAGTTCTTCTACTCCGCTTGCTCGGTACCGATCAAATCTAGCATTTGCGTCACCATGCTTCGAATTTGCGATTCACGCCGTCGATTCGTCTGGACTCTGTGGGGTCTCATAGGCATGACCGTCATCACCGCCATCATCTTCATCCTCGCCACTGCGAACGTTTGCCATCCGATTACAACACTTTGGGGAGAAACGACACACGGCTACTGCAATACCAAGCTTAACAGCAGCGTCGGGTTCTTCTTTTCTGCTGTTTCGATCGTCGTAGACTGGACGCTGGCTATTCTTCCTGGTCTCTTGCTGTGGAATATCCAGATGAAAAACAGGGTCAAGCTCCCAGTCATTGTTATGCTTGGACTTGGCGCTTTGTAAGTCAAACATATGATATGATCTTGGTGGCAACGCTAACATCTTGTAGTGCCAGTTGCGCAACCGTCGTCCGCCTCGGCTACCTCACACTCTACAACAACCCCGAAGAATTCATGTACAGCACCGGCGCAATCGGCCTATGGTCTATTGTCGAAGAGGGCATCGGAATCATCGCTGGCTCAATGCCTGCTCTTCGCCCACTTCTCAACCTCCCCGTGTTCCGCAGCACTTACGCCAGCAACACCGGCTCCAACGGAATCTCGAGTCGAATGAACCCACCTCATATCTCAGGAAACAAACATACTCGGATTGTTTCTAATAACCAAAAGTCGAGTTTAGAGTTGAATGACTTTCGATCGGGAATGACAACACGAGTGGGTTTTGGAAACGACGATAAAGTCAGGCAGAGTATTGATGATGGGGATAGTCAGAAATACATCTTGAAGCAGACGCGGGTTGTGATGACTACTGAGCAAACATAAAACATAGAATAGTAAATTTTTGAGATTGGCAATTACTTGTTATCCTAATCAATATTCCATCAATTTCTCAATCGTGCCTAGCAAACTGGCGTAATGCATGCAGTTTGAATTTGTAATTCTGCTATGTACCCGTCTGGAATTCTATCAATCTCATGGCCAAGACTCATTGAGCTCAGAGCTGACCTTTCTATTAGTATATTATAATCAAGAAGAGTAAGCTACGTTGCAAAGTGAGGCGGGTGAAACAGCCTACTTGATTTAGAGAGATGAAAAGCCGTTTGTCTTCTTGGCATTCCCTGCTCGCTACCCTACAGCAACTGAACACTGTAGGAGATAAACTTAGAGAACTTATTACTTCCTTAAATAAATATCAAATATTAGGTTTACTATCTGATAATTATATAATCATATAATTATATCTACTTTCTAAATTATTTATCACTTAAAGGACGTGCCTGCTAATCGAGAGCTGAGATTACTGAACAACAAGGTAAAACATAGGTGAAGTGAAATCTGCACTACGTAGTGATTATAGACAATAAGACAACTAACTTATGTGAACAAGGGCATAAGAAAGGTTTGCCCTCTCTTACCAATATTACCCTGATATCTTGCGGTCAATCTTGATATCCGTTGATCAGCCGGTTCAATGCTCATGCCAAGTCTTTAGAGCAGGGTTTCCAATAGGCGCGCATGCACGGCATCAAGTAGATCATGCGGGGAATCCCAGCAATGGCCAACATCATCTGACTCGGTATTTCCCAATAGCAAGGTATTCTTCCCAAGTTGCCTGGAGTACCATGTTCTTTAGCCGGATGACTTTTAGCAGATCTCTACAATCTGTCAAGCAGTCAGGGCTTGTTTACATTCATCAACATCTAGTCCGTAGGAGCTTCATGTTAGAAGTCCTGTCTCAAGCATTCAAGGTTGGCGTACACTGAAACAATCGAAATAAATACTCTGAAAAGCTTTAATAGACGCAGTGTCACTAGTTGAAGCCTTCCGGGGCAGGCCGAGACATCACCCTTAGATTTAAGCATACTTTCAAACTTGCATGACATATTTAGCCTGTCCCACCGGAGCAAGCTCCATCGGCACTTCTTTCTTCTACTCTTCAACCAGGAATTACCTGTTTAGGAGCTCCTGCGGGGGATCTGCGTCCCGGCGGGGAGATGGTACCATCTCTGTACCTTGTAATGGCATAGAGCCAACTTTGTAAGGGAATTGATAAGTAGCTCGCAACGTGCCCCGGGTTGCATCAGATGGAATGACTGGAAAGTTTGGTTTTAACTCTAATCAAGTCTTGAGCAAATTTGTTGTCTAAGATGCATCGCGTCACTCTCACCACCGTGGTGCTAGCTCTAGTCACCAACGTCGCTGCACAGGTACAAGGCACAGCAACTGTCGACTTGTCTAAGAGCCATGGACGAGCACAGGCCCTTGGCTCAGGCTTCATTTACGGTTGGCCTGATAACGGGACTGATGTCGACACTTCGATCCCAGATTACTTGGTAACTGACATCAAGTTCAACGCAAATCGTGGTGGTGGTGCTCAGATTCCATCGCTAGGTTGGGCCAGAGGTGGCTATGAAGGATACCTCGGCCGCTTCAACTCAACTCTATCCAATTATCAGACAACGCGCAAGTATAACGCTGACTTTATCTTGCTGCCTCATGATCTCTGGGGTGCAGATGGTGGACAGGGCTCGAACTCTCCGTTTCCTGGTGACAACGGTAACTGGACTGAGATGGAGTTGTTCTGGGATCAGCTTGTATCTGACTTGAAGGCTCACAACATGCTCGAGAGTCTCGTAATTGATGTTTGGAATGAGCCTGATATTGATATCTTTTGGGATCGCTCCTGGCCTCAGTTCCTCGAGTATTACAATCGCGCGACAAAGCTCCTTCGGTAAGTGACCACCACTGACGCGCATGGTTATGCAATGAGCTGACTGGTCGAATTAGAAAAGCACTTCCCGGAACCCTTCTCAGCGGTCCAGCTATGGCACATTCTCCCATTCTGACTGATGACAAATGGCATACCTGGCTCCAGTCGGTAGCGGGCAACAAAACAGTTCCCGATCGTTTCTCCTGGCATCAGATTGGTGCCTGGGAACGTGAGCCCGACACGACAATCCCCGAATTTGCTACCTTGCGGGCGCAATACGACGTGCCCGAGAAACCAGTAGATGTCAATGAGTACGCTGCACTCGATGAGCAAAATCCAGCCAACTCCGTGTACTACCTCTCTCAACTAGAGCGTCACAACCTCAGAGGTCTACGCGCAAACTGGGGCAGCGGATCTAATCTGCACAACTGGATGGGCAATTTGATTTATAGCACCACCGGCACCTCTGAAGGGACTTACTATCCCAATGGCGAATGGCAGGTATATAAATACTATGCCGCAATGGTAGGACAGAGACTCTTGACGAAAGCGTCATCGGATTCGAAGTTTGATGTCTTTGCGACTAAGGAAGGCCATAAAATCAAGATTCTAGCTGGCACCAGGACCGTTCAAGCAAAGTATAGCATTGGAGTCAGCGGCCTGGGAGCAGTAGGACTTCCCAAGAAGGGGATGGTCAAGGTGCGAACATATCGATTCGACTGGGCAGGGCCGAATGGAAAGGTTGACGGGCCTATTGATCTGGGGGAGAAGAAGTATACTTATTCGGCCGATACGGTGAGTAGCCCCTCTCATTAAGCGCTGCTTTATATGGGTTTACTTCTTCGAGTTTAATGGCTGAGCTAACTTCAAACCACAGCTAACACTTTCTATTAACCCACCAACAAACGCTACCGCGTTTGCTTACGAGTTTTCGATTTAGAACCTGGAAACAGACTGGAGACAGTAATGAGATAGCAAGTTCGTTACTTGTAGGATAGGGTCTTCTTAAGGCTCGAAATTTGATAGAAGGAATAACAGTAGGAAACACGGACTGGCAGACTCTCAACCAAGCAAATCATTCATCGATCGAATCTCGTCGAACCTTCTTCCTCGTTGATCTTGAGCCCAGTGAACTTCGTTTCTTCGAACCTGTACTTCCGAGTAAAGACCAAACGTGAAGGTCAGCAGGCAGGAAAGTACCACTGTATGCCTCTCGTCTGAGGAATTGCATTATAGATGAGAACGGAAGCGCGTCCATGCCGCAGTAAACAGTGATTGCTCTCCCGAAAGCAACCTCATGCATGAGATCTGCCCGCTCAAACCAAGACCGCCTTAAGAATCTGATGATAGCCGAGTTTTCCTCGCTAGAAGGGATGTACGAGCATCCAGGAGTTGTGGTGGAAGGACTTTCATCGGACATGATTTCATCCGGGTCTTTGCCATCAGCCCGAAGGATTGACAAGATGGCATCTGGCGCAAGTTTCGTCTCATCATTCTGAACTCCAACCCATGCGATGACAGAGTTAGCACGGCAGTAAATCTGCGCAATCAAAGAAGCATGATTCGAGCGCTCCTCCGAATTGCTCTGATCGATGCAAATTGCATCAATCCACATTGGTCTGCCGACTCTGATGACCTCAGGAAGAGGAACGAGCTCTCTCTCCTCTGGCATCTTTTGCATCTTGTATGCAATCTCCTCGACGTTTTCCCAATCCTTTGGCTTTGTGTATGTGATGTAATCCATTGGCGTTTTACCATATGAGTCAATTACTTTCATACTAGCGCCGTAGTCGAGAAGCAAGTTGATTATGTCGAAATGACCAAGTTGTGCTGCGTGATGAATCGCTGTCTTGCCAAAACAATCCTGCGCATGGATATGAGCACCTTGCTCCAACAACTGTTGAACCTTGGATAGATGATTATTTTCCACGGCTGTCATCAACTCTGTCTCCAAGAAGAGTTCATTCCGTCGCTCCACGGGATCATTGACCTTTTGAGCCATCTTGAGAGCTTCATAAATGTTTTTCGGGAGAAACATCAGCTTTCCGTTGATGGTGACGGGATAAAGATGCATAGGCCCGTATTCATCAATATCGCCTGGATCAGCACTGTCTGGATTGCCCCATGTTGAAGAGATGAGATCAAAGTCTGGGGCCTCGTTTATGTCGAATGTTTCTAGGGTGCATTCCAGCAGAGGTTCACCTAGAATTGAAGGAGGTGAAAGCTGGCGTGGTCGTTTGATGAATGACAGTAGACGAATTGAGGCTGGTGAAGGAAGATTTGTGTATGAAGCGTTGGTGATGTCCATTGGAGGCGCATTGATAGAAGCCATGATAGTGTATTGAAACTGTGTTATCCAAGTGTGATCTGTTACTGTTGGTGACAACTATCGTATCTTTGCCCTCATCTTTATAATCTCAGCACTATGAATCCTTCCGCTAAGACATGCATCGTGTGCCTATTTTAGTGCAGGCGGAGGGCGTTCTGCCTAGCTCAGCCCCTGTAAGTGGATAGCATTCGCTGTCAGATCCCCCGGACTTGACTCGGCTGCCTCCCCAACCACCTGAATATCTTCACAGCCAAGTAGACAAGCAGTTGAAGTAGCCATCTGGTTTATAATGTCTAACTTGTCATCAGATTGATTCCAACATCCCAATACAGATTGTTTAAACCAGCTGCATCATTTTCTGCCTGAACCCCGCCGGACTCACCAGCCAGTAAGCATCGCAGCGTGATATCCCTGTAAGTCTCGCCGGCAAAAAAGGCCAGGTCTGATTTACACTTCTTGATAATGGCTTCTTTAAACTGCTCAGGTGATATGGAGTCTGCTTTAGAGCCTTTTGCTCCAGACTCAGCGACCTTTGCGATGGGTCGCCAATAGCCAATCTCAGCTAGTAATAGTCCAACAGCGTAAATGTCATGGACGCGCTGAAAGCGCTGTTCGTTGCCAGTCTGTTTGGCTCCAGATTTGAGACGCTTACGTATGTCGGGGTGAAGGTAAACAATTTCGGTGTCTTCAACTGACGCTGAGATAGATAGCTCAGTTGGTGAATCTGGTCGAGAGATTGCGAAGCCTCCAATGATGGGTTGACTGAGATCAAGTGCCCTTGACTTTGTGTCCGTCTCATCTATCAGGAATGCGATATGCAGAGAATTGAACCGCTCGTGATGCCATCGAGTCAAGAGAAAGGTGTAGAACCCCATCACAAGTTTTGACGCAAGCTGGAGGCGCTGGTTGAGACTGGGAAGCGCATGCTGCACTCGCGAAGCTGATTTGCTTCCCGCCGCTGCCGCCGACTTCTGACCTCCCGATAACATATCGTAAAGTGTATAGACTTTTGTAGAGGATCTAAGACTGCGAGGCAAAGTTGAAACAATACCAAAAGATCTTGCGCTCCCGAACTCAACGAATCCAAGAGCTGGCAGAGGCTGTATTGCTGAAAATGTTCCGATCTGCTGTAACGTGTACGAGATCCGTGCCATCCGAGAGTGAGCCAGCTTATAAGCATCGAAATCTCTTGGTATGGGGATCCATTCAATCATGACTCGAGAAACTTGGCCATTTTCCGATGTGAACTGAGAGATCGTGTATTGACATCCTTTGAAGATATCCGCTGCGACAAGACCCTCGAATGCAGCTTCTTTGAGCTCCATTTGCTGGAGGATAGCATCCATGTTAGCGCTCAAGACCATGCCATCTTTGAACCGCTGTCGTATCGAAATTAGCTTAGCGCTTTGGCTTAATGTTTCATTGCGATCATTGGACAAGTTCACAATGTCTTTGATGTTTTCTGGCGAGTCCAAAGCGTAGCCAGCAATCCCAAGCTCGAGGATACTGTCTCGAATGTTCTGTGGAAGAATGCTGTACAAAGTGTTGTTCCAGTATATCATGGATTCCAGTGAATCATCGAGTGCGGTTTTGTCAGAGTCTTCTTTCCATGGAGTTGTGCTGTGCTTGATCCGAGTTGTCCATGGTGTATGCTTCAAAAGCTCATTCGCAAATCGCTTCAGTCGCTGTCTCGATTTCGCGGCGGCCTCGCCAAAGTCTGCAACTGGATCTGCTATAACCGGTTCAGCCTGCATAACTACTAAGACACCGTTTCGCTGTAGTATTCCCTCAATCTTTTCAAGCAGCTTCAGAACGCTGGTCGCAGCGTCGATAATCGGTTTGCCGAACTGCTTGTCCAGCGTCACCTGTAAAGGCGATGATTGAAGTGGCACATTTAGAACAGAATGAGACGATTGTTTCGTAATTGCAAGGTGTTCCAAAGCAGTCCACCAAGTCTGGAACCGAAAGAACTCCATCTCCAGCTTGCACATCCAATCCGCAACATCATCACCAAAATCATCGGCTCTTCGGATAACGCGCCATACTTCAAACCCCTTTTCAAAAACAGAGATTAGGCCTCCAAGGCCGATAATAAAAGCTGGAATCTCAAGTCCAGACATTTCAACGTGTAGAAATGGGTTGAAAGGAAGAGGTTGCGAGAGAAGCAGGTTTGAAGACTTGACCAGTGATCTAGACCCTGATAAGCCAATGCAGGTAATCAATAGCGCCAGAACCCCTCTTTTTACGGCCCAAGCTGAAATTTATGCAGCAGTTTCGTAAGCTGTGTGAGCAGAGACAGAGATCTATTGGTCTAGAACTAGACATGGCTGAGATATGTTACAATCTGGTTTCAGCCTAGCGAGGAAATCAGCCTCACGTTCCGAACCGTGCGTGAAATAAGAAGCCACCTCGCGACGGATCTTCAAGTGGGCTCCCTGAGGTTCATCTGTCGTCAAAATGGGCGATTTTCAATCATTTTCGACGTATTCCGCTCCTTTCTTGGTGACCGAACTCATCAACCGCCCTGACAAGACATACGCAGTAAAAGGCCAAGCTGAATTCTTGGCTGTCGCCGTCGCCCTCGATGTCCCGATCCTCAGCGCCCAGAACAATGTCATCGCCAGCATGAATATTCTCTCCGCTGGCGCTGGCGCTTCATTCGCGGTATTTGCATCAGCTGAAGAACTCAGCCTCGATGCAGATGAGGACTTCATCAATGCGACACCCGGAGTACGCGATTGGATCCAGAAAGCAAAAGATAGCCAAAAGTTCAGACGATACGTGACTAAAAAGATTGTCACCTCTCAAGGAGTCGCGAGTGACTCGCCTCAGCTTGCTGCTGCTATTAACGAGATACGAGTTCTATCGAATGAGACGATTCGGCAATGTGACTTTATTGTTTCGATGCTGGCCATTTCGTGGAGCGAGTCGCCTAGTGTTGGCCGGTTTTGGCCGCAAGTCTTGCTTGAGGCTGCTGATGAGGGAACTTTGGCGGAGTATCTCTCTTCTAACAAAGCCGATTTCAAGTCCCAATTGGCAATATCCATGAACATCGGTCGCGCGCTACAGTTTCTTCACGCTCACGGCATCGTCCATGCTGATCTGAAGCCAACGAATGTGCTCGTTTTCACTTCTGGCTTTGACGAACACCAACATGACCTACTCGACAAAACTGGTCTTCCGCCTATCCGGGCTAAGCTATGCGACTTTGGATATGCGGTGATCCTCGATGATTATAAGTCTGAGAATATGTTTCAAGCGAGAATCGGTAGTCTTCCATGGATGGCACCCGAGCTCGATGCAGAAGAGCCGATCAGATTACAGGATCTTCACAAGACGGACATATACTCTCTTGGATTACTCACTGCCAGCATCTTTATGAACGGTTGTACGCCCTTTGAGTCACTGAGTCCAGGAGATGTTTTGGAGATTAAGAAGAAAACACCAGACCAGTCAGGCTCAGCAGTCAAAGTGCTTATAGAGAACATCAAAAAGAAAACACCTCTTACGGAACCACAAGAAGAGTACGTGTACGCTTTTCTCGGGGGAACTTGCGCACCTTCAGCATCAGAGAGGGTATCACTTTCGGCGATACAAAGCTACTTGTTCCTGGGGCTCATGCAACAATTACACACTGGAAAGGCAACTATTCCTTTAGAATGGTTCAAAGATCTGCGGCCAGCTGCGGATGGGTACAAGTAGGTAGCGTTTTCACTCTTTGATCAGATGCTGACATTGCAGGGGTGCTCTGGCTGCGCTGGAGAAGAAGCATTCAGGGATGGTAAGAAGACTTAACTTCTAATCCTCTGACGGGTTGACTGACGGCTGATGACTCATTGCCAGACAAACGAAATTGACCAGGACGAAATGTTGATACAACTTCGACAAATGCTTGATGAAGTAGTATCCATCAAGATCAACAACCCAGAGTTCGAGAAAATGCTCGCAACATGCTTTGAAGACCACAGCCTCAAGCCGGCTAGTCTCAAGAAGTTTAAGAAGAACTGGAAGCCTGACGAAGATACTCAGGATAGTGAAGACTTCATCTCTCGAATGGAAGAGATCTTTGATGGAGCCATAGCCAAAGTCCCTGATGTAAGTATGAATCTCCATGGTCGATATTACTAACCGGTTAGTTCGCATTCGAGCACTCGTTGAACGTATCTATCATCCCGAGAGTGGCTCAGGAAGAAGTCTTCCGAGATTTGAGGGAGAGCGTTGAGTCTGGGGATGCACAAGACTCTGCCGCGCCCCTTCACCTAGCTGGGGCATACCTCAATGGACAGCTTGTCGAGACATCAATAGAGAAAGGCCTGTACCATCTTGTTACAGCAGCCATCATGGAGAACCCGGAAGCCCTGTCCGTCATCCTTAGTATCTTTGATGCATGCGACACCGCTCTACCACCAGACAGTGCAGGTGAATTGCTTAGCAAGATTGAGTCATATGGGACCAAGACATTCGGCCTTGCTCAGGGGACACTATTCGACCATCTAGTCCCTAAGCATCTCTCAACGAATCAAATCCTCGGGAAGATCTGGACTAGCAAGTGGCCAGAGAAGTATGAAGCATATCTCGCAACTGGGCGCAGATTTCCGAATATGTTTCTCCTTCACTGCAACAGTCCTTTGTTCTTGAAGGAGAAGCCAAATATGGACACTCCAGTATTCGACTTTGATCAACTGGCATGCCTCAGAGATGCAGGAAAGGAAAATATAGATCTCGCAAAGACAGACGAGTTCAAAGAAGAAGTTGCTCGACTCGACTGTCTCAGCTACTGCAACAAAGATGGTTTTACGCTGCTTCAGATTGCAGCTTGTAAGAACGATCTTGTCATGGCGCGTGCTCTGGCTGAACTCGGTGCTGACGTCAACGCACACGGCAACACTCACGGCTGGGCACCATTACTTTTAAGCTGCCACTGCGGCCACTTCGATATGGCAAAACTCCTGATCGACAATGGCGCTGATCCAACCATACGGGAAACCATGCACGGTGCTACGATTCTTCACTCCCTCACACAGTTCTCGAAACGTGAGCACTGCGAGGAGATATTCGACATTGCCTTATCAGCCGGTCTTGATATAAATGTCCTTATGAATAACGGTGCTACTCCACTGCACACTACATTTGTAGCGTGGGACTATTCTCAAGGAGTGGCGACTGAGCTTCTGCTGGAGTATGGTGCAGATCCTACGAGACAGGTCCAAGAATGGGATGGCTTCTTGAACTTCAACACTGCGATTGCGCATGCAGCTCAGCAGCTTGACGTCGATCTCTTACGAAGAATGTTAGCTGCTTCAGAGGCCTTGGTGCCGATTCTAGGTTTGCCGGCGCGACGTCAACTCAGCGATGCCAAGGCTCAGGCCCTCAGTGCTGTTCTTCGAAGAACACGCTTCTACTGTATGTGCGTCGGAGGCAAAGGGTACATAGGTAAATTGGAGACTGTCATCTCTCTTCTAGCTGATGAGGACGCCCGCTCGGTGATGTTAGAGCGACGACGTGTGGACAAGAAGCAACCAACTGATCCCTTTCTGACAATGTGCACTTTTAGAGGGTCAGGCTTCCTCGTCGATGCGTTTCTGAAAGTCTTTCCAGATACTGTTATTGACGATCCTTCGTGGAATCTGCCGAGACTGTTTCTACATGTCGCCATTGAGAGGAGAGATATTGAGGCTGTACGTGCTTTTGTCAGACAAGGGGCGGATATCCTCACCAAGGAGAGGGGAGGGCGAAATGCTCTTCACTTTGCAGCGCACTACTTTCCCAAGATCCTGCCAGAGCTTATCAAGACACTTGAAGAGTTTCCCTCGGATAGGCGACAGGGGAAGAGTATGACAGAGATATTGGAGGGGCAGTGCAACTCTGGACTCACGGTCTTTGCTCAGCTTCTTGTTGAAGGGTACGATGATGAGCGCAAGCTGGCAGAGAGTCTACGGGCCAAGTACTCGCTGAAGCATGACTACAAGATGAGGCGAGATGGCAGCTGGGTGACATTCGGAGGCTACCTTGTTTCACTAGCTGTTGCTGATGGCTTGGTACCAATCGAACATATCCAGTATCTCCTGAACTTTGATGTACTTCCCGAGTATGTAACTACGCCAGCAGGCAAGACCTTACTAGCGACAGCTATAGAAGGCTTTTCAGGATGTAAGTGTACACATATCTATGAAGACACCGCTAACTTTCCAAGCTCGGGACTCATATGACCTTGCGTGCCATCAGATCACAAGAATGCTTTTGGCGAAGTACCCAGCTTTTGATGACGTCTTCCGCATTGCCGATGAAAGAGGCAGAACCGCTCTTCACATCGCGGCTTACTGGTCTAACAAGACTGCTTTGCAAATGATCAAAGAGCATGCACAACGAAATTTCCCCAACAAGACCATTCCGTGGAATACAGAAGCTAGCGGTAACACAGTCTTGGACCACACGTTACAGGGTATAAAGGAGAAGTCATTCCCAGCACTTGATAATGAAGTCAACAAAGTTGCTACACGTTCCACCAGGAAAGCCGCATTGGCGTGCTATTTATTCTTACGTGAGAATGGAGCGCTGCATAATTGGGAGTTGGAGGGGTCTTTGGTAGCGTAAGTTGACTGAAAGAATTATGGAAGCCATTCTGATCACTGTAGGGCACGGTTGATAATGTACACGCCTGACTTTCAGAAGATCGGTCTTTTCTTGAGACTTGCGACACAGAGACTTGGGCTGGGACCACCAGACGTCGACTTTGACAGTGAGTTACCCATGCAACATTGTCCCTAAATTAACATCTAACCACACAAGGATGCTTCGAGGTCGGCATTACAACCAGTTTAGATGGAAGACTTATCCGAGTTCCAGTCGTGGACCTTATCTGGAAACATGACAACTTCATCCTCAGATTCTATTCAGTCCGCATATCATCTCTGGCCATAGAAGGTTTCCGTCAGTTTCACGGTTGGATCGAGAAGAGAATGACAGAAACTGAGCCACAATGCTATCAAAGTCTCGGTCTTCCCGCTGGACGTTGTAAGTTCATGCCGATCAATGTCTTTGTTGTACTAACTCAGAGTAACAGGGCCGTTCATGACTCTCACCTACGATAAACCTATACCTTATGCAAAAGAGACGATGCGTTGGTCTCGTGGCGGTAGGGTTTGGACTGAAGAAGAACGCGATAATCTGAAATCGCAATTTTCATCACTATGGGACATGTTCTTTGGGGAGGTTGAGGAGCAGTTCTTGTCTAGGTTTGAGATGGCTTAATTCCGTGGCCGGATTTCCAGCTGCGGTAATTCTTAGTTCCGTTAGTACCGCCGTCCGATTATCTCCGGTGGCTTGATTTCATTGAAACATCAGCACTATTCCGAAAGGAACCTCTTTGGGAATAATACAATTGATACGTCCGATGATAAATTCCGTTTGACGACAAAAGTGATGCAGTATAAGAGGGAAGAACAGTCGAGTCAAAAAGTGTTGAATCGCATTCAGCACGCACAATAATCACTATCAACAAACCATAACTCCAGTTTCTGCAAGAACGAAACAAGAAATCCATCATTCAAAATGCCCAAAGTCCTCATCATCGGCGCCACTGGCTACCTCGGAAGCAGAATCTGCAACGTCCTCGTCAATAGCGGCCAACACAAAGTCTACGGCATCGCCCGCAATGAAGCCAAAGCCAAATCTCTAGCCGTCGCCGAAGTCACTCCAGTCATCTGCCCTGACCCTATCAATAAGCCAGATTCTTACCTCAATGCTATCTGCAACTTCAATATCGACATAGTTGTTGATGTCTCTGGTGCAAATCAAGAGTCTGCAAAGTTCCTTGCTGATGTGAAGGCGATCGGCCAAGAACGTATGAACAAGGCAAAGTCTGCAGGGCTCACGCATGCCCCGAAGCTCGGCTTCATTTACTGTTCAGGAACTTGGGTCCATGGGTCGAGTGACAAACTAGTCAATGATCTTGATATTGTTGGACCAGAGGCCACGACACCACCTGCACCGCTTGTCGCATGGCGCGTCGCGCATGAGAACGCTGTTCTCGCTACTTCTGACGTCCTGGACGTGGCTGTTCTACGTCCGGCGCTCATCTACGGTGGGGAGAGTACTATCTGGACCGCCTTTATTCTCCCACTCCTCCAGGCTTCCCGAGATGGATCCTCTGACACAATCCAAATCCCATTGAGCGTTGACTCTCAGCCCGGGCTTGTTAACGTTAGTGATGTCGCCACTGGTTTCCAGAAAGCTATAGAGAGGCTTTCTCTTATCAACAGCAGCTCGGTCTATCCTGTATTTGACCTTGTGACCAGCCAAGAGAGTATGTCGGAAATCTTCGCGGCTCTGGCTTCGCGCTGGGGATTCAAGGGACGCTGTGAGTTGGTTGGCCCTGGGAATGATTTGTTCGCGGAAGCGATGGGGACTAGCTTTCGAGGTTCGTCTGACCGTGCCAAGCAGTTGTTGGGTTGGGAACCTACTAGACTCAATGGCTTTGTAGCCGATATGGATATTTATGCCGATGCATTTGCATCTCAGCACTAGTTCCGAGTTCCTGACAGTAAAAAGGATGGGGGCTATCCTACTAGAGGGCTACTAGCATACAATAAAGACTGTAGGTTTTACCGGTTGTACGAATTATACATATACTATTTACAAGGGTATTTCTGCTTTCGATAACTTTTCTGTGTCCTCGATTTCCGCTGCTACTTCCTCTCTGATGAATCAACACCCAACTCATAGACTGGCTCAGGCTCACGAGTGTCGCTTCCCGCCATTTCATAAGCCGGAGCAGGGCTGTGGACGGTTGGAGGAGATACTTGAGCCCCTCCTTCACGTGCATTTTGCCCACTGGGAGAAGCCGGCCCTGTCATCATTGACAAACGTGTATCTTGCGGCGGAGAGTAGACCATGTTAGCATCGGTGTAGGCTGACACAGTCCCGTGTTGCTGAGGATGATGTGGGTATTGATTCTGGTTCATCGGGAGGCCCCTTCTCCGGCGTTGGAGTAAACAAAAAGCGCCAAGTCCGATCAACCCAAGAACGGCTACACCACCTATGACACCGCCAACGATGGGACCGACAGGAGTAGACTTCTTGCTGGAGGTGGATGTTTCGGAAGAGGTCGTTGACTGACTGGGCGGCTGGGGTATCATGTAGACGGTCACAGCACTTGGACTTCCGGTAGCTTTGCCTTGGACAGTTACTGTGACTGGCTCTCCCAATCCTTCTGATGCTCCATCAGTCAGAGTCACTGTGCTAAGACTCGGGTTTTTCTGTCCTTCAAACGTGAATTCAACATGCTCGAGTTCCTCAACTGCGGTTGATGCACAGCTGTAGTCGAAAATTCCACTGGGGTAGACGTACGTGCGGCAGAAGGGCCTGTTTGAATTGGTGCTAGGAGGCAATGTTAGCGTGGGAGTCTTCAATCTTGAGAGTCTTACCAAAGAAGGTTGAATGTATTGCTCCGACAGACGTCGTCACATCGCGTCGAATTAACTGCCTTTGAAGACTCGATGCAGGTGATATAAATCTCTGCCCCACATCCAACAACTCCAGAACCACTAAACACAGCCCAAGAACATAGGGTACTGCTGGGACATGTTACTGGTGAATCTTCGTCGCCATTGATGTAGCCGCAAGTCTCATCGGGCGCGATAGTAACGGCGATTGCGAAGTCTTCTGTTTCTGCTCGTGGTTTCAGTCCAGAGCCATGTCCGAGGAGCAATTCCAACGGTTCAATGACCCCCAATGGCGCATCCGTTACTCTAGCTGGTGCATTCGGAAGTCGTCTTGTTTCCGCGCCATGAGCAATGTTCGATGCATAAATGGCCGGGATCGCGAGAAAGAAAACGATACTGGGAAGGGTTAGACAATACATGCTAAGCTCAAACACCCAGCGACTAAGGAATAAGCTGTGCCAAAATTGTACGGAATTTCTTTGGGTGTTGCAATATGGTAAGAAATGACGATTAATTAGACAAGGGACCAGGTCAGGATATTACGGAGGAGGGGCCTTTAAAAAGAGAGCTCATCAGACTACCAGGGTCGGCTAACAACCAGCGCAACGACGACACTGGACAGCTGAGAGGTTCTATATTACGTGATATTTGTGATGTGGCTTGCATACTTTGGCGACCCGTCAAGCTTGATTCGTTTGGCGTAACGAGCTGAAAGATATGAACGCCATGTTTGAGAAGTAGTGGTCTTGGCACTTCTTGCACCCCAGGGAACGAAGCCGCTAAGGCTCTTTGCTATGTAATCATCTACATGACGAAGATTTGTCGAAATAATGCTTGGCATTTGGCATCTATCAAACGGTAGCCAAAGTAGCAACAGTAATAGAAGTAGAGACTTCAATATTGGAAACATGGTCAGGGAGTCAGGCCCCGTAAGCTTTTTAACGTCTTTGATCAGGCTACTCTGATGGAGCCTGTGTGGCGGCTTACACGCATGAGATCCCATGTCGCGGGAATGAGGGCTTGGAGCGCCATGCGATGAGGCCAAGTCTACCGATAATTGGGGGGTTTTCTTCTTGCCAACTCCCCTCTGAAGAGATACCTCAAAGCCCAATATCAGGGGGAGCCATTGGATGGGCTGGATCATATGCCAAAACAGCTAGCATAAGGTATTATGGCCAAGCATTTGTTGCACCATGTAGCATTTTGTACAAACAGTTTCCCGAACAAGGAAGGTGGTGGGAAGTACCGTGCATTCCACTCACAGCCTGATGAGTGACGTATATTTTCCTTCTGGGACACTTTTACAGTGAGTTATTTTTAGAGCTAGGACACGACACTGAAATTTCATGATACTGACTAATGTGCAGGTTATTGGTCTTTGTTCATCAAAAAATAAATTGTAGTCTATCTATGCGCTCACAAGTTCGATATCAAAATCAAAGTCTCTATAAGCTCGAGAGAAGAGATTCAATCTAAGTTCTTGTCCCCGACTCTAATTGGGTTACTGGTCTTGTTATTCTACTCATAGAGATCATTACCACGCCCTTCTTGCGGCTCAAAACTTGAGTGTGAACTTGGCCACGGATGTTGTTTGAGTGAACTTTAGAAAGAACGTTTCTGTTCCAAACATGCTCTTTTCGGTGTTCTGTACCCCTACAAGACCAACTCTGCCAGAAACTTTGCCATTGTCGAACTTGACTTCCACGCCGCCCCCGAAGACATAATAAAAGACGTTGCCTCTCCGAAATTTTGGACTACTCGGGCTCGTGATCGCTGGAGACTTAGGATAGAAGGTGTTGCTGGAATAGTTGTCCGTGATATTGAATCGTGGCACAGTATCGTAAGGGGTATGTGGGTAATCGCATACGCCCCTGTAAGGTGGTGCCAATCTGGACTGTAGGATGGCGAGGTACTGGTTGGAACAAAAGCAGAATCCATTGTTGTACCCACTCGAAATTGGAAATATGGCAATATCCATGGGGTTTGCGCCATCTGTTGTGCCAGGTGTTGGAACCGGGTTTGTAAAGATCAAGAGGCCTGATCCAGAGTTCTCGGTTAAATAGTTGAACCTAATCGGATACATCGTGATGGTGAGACTTAAAAGGGTTGGAGCATCTCTGGAATCCAGAATAGTCTCTTTCAACCAAAATCGGATGGGGTAAGCTTAGGGTCAGAGGGATCATTGAAGAATGAGGGTAAAGAAGGCTGCGGAGTTGGTGACCCCCAAGTGCACGCAAGCAGTGGAAGAAGCAGTAGGCGAGACAACATCTTGATGTATGTAGCGTGGTTAAAACGTGTCCTATGTGTGCTATCTTTGTAAATAAGTAAAATATTACATTTCAATAGTATGCAATATATTTGTTACAGAATAGCTGCTATAAGTGTAAGCTAAGGATACAGGCGGTGATACTGGAATGTTCTTGTCCCTAGTTGTGGTGATTGGGAAACACGTTGAGTGAAGGCCAATGTCATTGTCATTGATACGTATTGCAGGCAATGCAAAAAGTGTAAAAGGATGCAGAAGCAGAAGAGCAATGAATATCTGTGCATCAATTTCCAATATCTCTCTATAAATTACCATCCTTTATGACCGCGAAAGCCTGCCGTTACCTCCGCTCTCCCGCACTTAATTACTGTATTCACTCAGAATCAATGCCCTTGCTGTCCCTATATAAAGAAACTACTTCCCACCCTCAAATCATTCTTTTCCCATTCCACTGAAACATCCACCAACATAAGGTACAACAACACCTTCACAACAATCTACTCAAAATCGCCTGAATAATCGCACCATGTGCATCAAAAGCGTTGTAGTCGACAAATGCGCCACCTGCGAGGACGAAATGAAGACTCATATCGTTGAACGTCCCTGTCCTAAGGCGGGAGGTGTATTTGAAGGTTGTGGGGAAAAGGCTACGCCTATTTACAGCGAAAGCCACGACGATATTTGCAAAAAGTGCCGCAAGAAGGCAAAGAAGGACAAAAAATGATAACCCTGAGTGGCTCTAGTCTATCTTTCTGGACGTAGGTATTGTTTCTGTGGCAATTTTCAGAGGCTCGACTAGAAACACAAACCCCTGCTTTCTAAACACTCTTATTCTGGCTTATGTGAGAATCGATGGTCTTTATGGATCTCTAAGAAGCTTGTTTCTGTCACAGCATGTCCCATCACGCACAGTGTAGATTCCCTCTACTATACCGTTGCTAGAAATCCGTCTTCAATTCTTTCCTATATGTAGTAGATGTGCCTAATAGAGTAATAAATTTGGGTCTCGAATATGTTGTACGCAAAGTTCTTGGCCATAATACTACCACATTACAGATGAGACTCACTTGCAATTGTTGAAAGCTATTAGATTTATGTCAGGAATTGTATAAGAATAATTCAGAATGCTAAATTTAGGCTTGAGAATCAACTTTGCATCTATCAATAAAACATAAAAACTCAGACAAATACGTCTTGATACACTGGTTTAAGAGGCAAACCAATTCCATTTGGCCCTCTGGATTGGAGGATTCGTCAGGTAAAGTAATTTCCTTCTGCTGATTTAAGCTCTCATCTACATATCTCTACTGCAAACAACACATATAGTTCGCCAGTTAAACCTTGGATCCCTCCTGGAAAAAATCTGGATCGAACGCAATACATGAAAAACCAGCCTCGTAGCAATATGTGTCCCACCACGCATCCACCGAGACTTTCATCCCTCGCTTGGTAACGTTTGTGGCCTTAAGCTCGCATCTAGGGTTGAACAGGTGATGTGTGTCGAGAAGTGAAATTGCCAGAAAAATATCAGGTCTTCGCTTCTTAAACCTTCCTTCGGGGAAGTCCACTGAGACGAAGGGGGCCCATATGTCAGAATGCTGACCGTATTTGTGCACACTGCCACCTCCGGTAAAGACATGCGGGTGATCTGCAGCGTGCGCAAACCAAACAGCATTTACGTGGACGAGCTCTGTATCCCACCAACCACCGATTCTTATAACGCAACCTTTGTCAGTTGTGTCAATGACTTCTGCACGGACACGAAGGTTTTTCGTTGTATGAGCTTCGAAACCCTCCAGCCAACAGGTAACATTAGGCTTCGAATTATATGTGTTGGCGAAAGTGACAGGAATCTCGTAGTAGTCGCCGGTTTTTGCTTGTTGCCAGTTGCTAACTCTACCGAACTCACTCTGGCTTGACTTCGGTAACTGTAACATACGTGCCCGAGCTCCTACTGGTATGGAGTTTGGGTCGCCGTAGGTTGTGATGGTAGGTACGTCTTTTTGGCCATCTTGATGAGCAATCAAACTGTATAGCGGTTTCTGCCTGTCAAGGTCGACTTTTTCGAAACCCATCACAACTTGTGTCCAGTCAGTTCCTTTTCGCTCTACTTGGGTTTCGAGTCGGTTGTCAGAGATCTCTGCAAAACAAACACGATCTCGAAAGTGCATCGGCGGGGACTTATTAATGAACCTCTTGGCACAGTCGAAACTTGAAGTCCACTGCTTAGTTGATTAGCACATATTGTTGGTAAAAGTTGAGGGTGGTCGTTGTTTAGCGTCGCCAACTTTTGCAGAGCTTACGACACATTGAGACATGGGGCTTAGTCTACTTACGAGGCTCGTCGAATTCCTCAATTCTGTGAAGCTGATATGTTGGTCATCGTCATCTCCATAGAGAAGATTAGCAGATAGATCTTGCAGAGTGCTCATAACATCGCTGAAGCGTCTCAGCATGGGATCCAACACATCTATCCAGTCCGGTCAGCTTTTGCCGGGGGTTGTTGGGTAGAACAGGCTGAATGGGGTTCGATACTTACTAACATTGAGCATATTCACAGATTCTTCGATCTCTTCAATGCAGTCCATGCTTCTTGCCAGCTTCTCTCGAAAAGAAATTGTAGCGCGGGCTTTGGCATAATCGCCATCCTTTCTCCATGACCCATCAGGCCCGCTAAGTGTGTTTGAGATCCCTCGCAACTGGTACCATACCAGACAGCCAGGTGAGAAAGGAGGATAATTCCAAATGATTTGATCCTCCAGGTCTCGAAAATCGAAGTTTCTTTCCTCCAGCCCTTGCAGCACAACCTGGGTTTCTTGGGTAGGGACTACCTGATCATTTGATACGTAAAGTGCCATGCGGTTGGCTATCCACATCGGTTTTTCAGGAGTCTCAAAACTACCCTTATATCGCCTAGTTCCATCTGGGTTTATCTTCTTCATTTGAACCAAGCCAACCTTCGGTAGAAAATCCGGGTCAGTTTCGCGATCATTAATGGGTTTGTATATGCCCTCATTAGCTTTCCACACTGAACAGTAGAGAGGGAGCTTGTCAGTCATGCTGGTAAGGGTCAACAACTCAGGCTAGAGACTCACGGCCATTTTTTATCTGCATGGGACCAGTTTCAGCGTATTGTGCGTCGACCCAATATTTCAAAGTAGGCATATTGTCGATTCTCAGAGCTTCGTAAAGGTTTTCTAGCAAGAACCGTTCCCGTGAATTATTGTCATAGGTAGCCTCCACTGCACTCACGCCAGCCATAAACCTTTCAAGGCGAGTGTCTCGGCGGTTGAATAGAAAGTTAAGAAACTGGCTGTGCATCAGTACCAAGTCTCCCGAACTTGAGGGTTTGAGCAAACATACAGAGTCAGTCGATGCGTCATGGCCATGGCGGGCTCTCTCCATGGACCTGTGTGCTCTAACCAGCATTACCCAGACCTCCTTGAGTGCAGCAGAGATATTTACTCCTGGTACTTGAACGCCTGGCAAGCGGGATATGGCTTTGACACAGATATCTTCTAACATCTGTATCGCCTTGGCCGAGTCTAATCCTAGTCAGTAACTCAAAAGGCCGCAGGGTCACACACTATATACCACCACATGCTTCCCAAGCCGCAGTCACGGACTCGTTGGTTTCTTTAGCGATGGCTTCCAGAGACGAGAGCAGACCCATCTCCTGTACATTTTTCGGGTTACCCCAGAGAAGGACCTCAATTTCCTTAATATTCGTACGCTTCTCAAGTGCTTCGAATACACTACCAAAGCCAGTAACGTCTTGGTGATATTTTATGGTGTCGAAGGACAGTCCTTCTGCTTTGCAAAGTTTTACAAGGCTGTTGACAGTTGTCATTGTGAATACAAAGCTTTCTTGTAGATATAGTCTTCTTCTGTTAGACTTGCTGAATAGAAAGTATGCCTCAAAGGCGAAGTTAATGATTAAGAAATTGAGATTGGAAACAGATTTCAAGGGATGAGATGGGCACGAAAGTAGGGAGCCGTAATGGATACAGCCAGCCAGCCACTGGCAAGCCACCTTACTCACACCATGCAAGACTATCAAGTGGCTTCAGGATAGGCACGAAATCTAGACCGTCAAGTGAGACAGAAAGAGTGGGACATCGACCAACACTAGAAAACTATTGCCTGGCGGCAGCGGAACGGACCATATCCGACGAGCGGGGCAAGGAGGCCAGAACCAAGCCAGCTCCTTCATTGGCAGACTCTAAAATGGAGGCAAATTGAAATCTGCATACAGGTATGCGGGCAGGTATTGTGGCTAGCTGGAAATCACTAGCGTATGCACACCGCTAATGCTCTAAAAAGATGTTGTCATAGCACGCGGGGAGCGACTTGTCCTCTCAGTACGACAATACCATACACCTCATTCTTCCCGCTACTTCACTCCACGACTTTAGATCATGCCGTCGATGATTATGGAGAACGACCTGTTGAGTATGGACTTAACTGCTCAATACAGTAGACATGTGAGTTCTTCCACCAGGTCGGTAGTGGAGGATAATATGATATCTAATTGGGACATGCTAGTTCTTCCGCCGTGGCGCTTACCTAGATCTTCACAAGATACTGGAAGACTTGCCAAACACTACTCGCTATCTCCATCTGTATTGTGTCAGTTTGGATCATAGTGGACCTGTCGAAAATGGCACAATAACTATCGAAATATCACGAACAAGCGAGCTACGTTATATACACATTTTCACATGCAGCTTTCTGGCCCGCCCTGATGTTCGGAAGTTCAATATTAGCTCGCCAAGAGAGTTCAAGTTGGACGTCTATTTCGAAACACTGCCCTCGAATCTCGTTTGCCTTGGTCATAATGGTCCAAATCTAAGTATCTCTCGAGATGGTCTCAAGTTCGAGACCTATGCGGCAATAACAAGCGTGTCTTCTAAGTCATTGAAAGAACACTTGGAGAGCCAGTTCGAAAGTCAACTGAAAGCATCAGAGTCAATGAAAGATACTCAGAACATGCTGGGATTCCGGATCAGGAATTCAACTGGAAATGTGACCTTCGAACCATTAGTCAAGATAGCTGATGGGGAGTTTGCAACCTCAGGACTTTTGGCTGTTTCTGATAGCCCAGCGCTCTCTGATACAAGGTAGCTTGATCTTTCCTTGAGAGTCGATTATCCCGCTAATTAACCTGCCTAGTCGTGCCTTAGGAAACCTCCCATTCCTGCTCAACCATGTTTTCGCTCTGGCATGCAGCCAAGTGTTTAAAGGACTTAGCGCCTCGGACATCGAGGCCAAAGAGCATACAGAGACAAAGGCCATGGCATATCTTTCGTACATATGCCGCTGCACTAGGTCCCGGCCGGAGTATTCAGCCTTACATCAGGATGCCAGTACGCTGCTCCAGCGATTAGAACTACCTCGACGGTACCCGGGGCCCTTCCCAATCAATGAAGTTGTTGGCAAGTACATCGTTCCTCTGGAAAGTCCCTCCAAGTATGAAAAGTACATGAATGAAGCTGTTACAAGCTGTAGGAATGTCCAGCAGTCTCTAGACAGTTTGAGATTGGCAAGCGATATGACTCGGGAATTGAAAAAGGACAATGCCAAGGCGTTGGACGCCCTCTCAACCCTTGCCCTCGGGACTGTGCCGGATGATCAGTACTACAAGGCAATGATCAAGAGTTGCGACCTAGTGGCCAAATACAAGACTGTAATGATGGTGAGGGCTCCCCCTTGTGCGACTTTCCTCACCTAACGTTGAGTAGGAAAGGCAGGAAAATCTCAATTCCAAGCTGGCTGCGTTTGAGAAGAATGTTGAAGCATATCAGAAGGGAAAGGTTCGTGAAGAGTCGCTTATCTGATTTCACAATTCATTGTTCAACGTTAGATTACTAATTCCGGCTCGCTCTCTGTAGAAGAAGGAACTGGAAATGGCCATTTGGAAGGGCGTGGGCCAGGTTGCTTTTGCAGTCGGCCTTGCGCTGTGCAGTAAGTAATCCCCAACTGTATATACCCGTAGCTTCGAGCTAATTAGTTTCAAAAAGCTGGTAACCCAGCGGTTGCAGTGCCTGCTTTGGCCAGTGCCGCTGTTACGATCGCAGAGGCCGCGCAACAGGTAGGTCCCAACATCTAGACCCATCAGGGCCACACATCTCATATCAATGCTACGTACAGGTGGACTTGTCCAGCTCATCAGGCCAGGCAAAGGATCAGTCTTCTGGGGCGAGCAGCGAGCAGCCCGAGGCCCCAGCGCCGAAGGTCGAAAAGACCCCGAACAAGAGTGTCAAAGACGCAGCACCTACAAAGCCTGAGAGCAAGGCAGGAGAGAAAGCAGCGGATGTTGCAAAAGCAGCCTGGAGTGCGGCGAATAGTATTTTTAGCGCCTGGAAAGCATATGACAATAACATGGTCATTAAACACAAAGCAGAGAAGATCCGACGCCAGTCCATCGAAGAGAATCTTTCTGCTGCTGCCAATACCGGTTTGTATTTCACAAGAATAGTATTCGCTTGGAGCGAGGCTGACGACTTACCAAGCATCTGAGATCATAACAACGTCGTCTCCGCCCATTGACTACTTCGGACTTCTGTCAGACTGGGAAGAGATTAAGGTTCAGGTGGACGAAATGTTCAACGTGGTGAGTCTAGACACAAAACAACACGTCTGACGCTTGAAGGAATTCTACTAACATTGTGCGTAGCTCAAGTACAAGCTTGGCTCCGATACTATTCCAGGACTAGAAGAGTATCAATCCGCCCTCAAAAAAATGATCATCCGCGGCAAGACTTTGATTGAAGCTCAGCGTCAAATGCAGCTAGACATCGATGCCTATCTCGGCGGCGTTGCTGAGAATGCCTTGAGAACCAAGCGCAAAGCAGATATCCAAAAAGCAGCAAAAGAAATCGCAGCTGATACTTTTCCGGCTCGCAGTCATATCGACGCCTTGAGCAGGAGTCTAGTCGCTCTCAAGCGAGTGGCAATCTTGCGGCTTCATCAATACTTGTTGAGGCTTAGGTATGTCTCTTCGCGTTATAGCGATATCAGCATCAGCGCATCTCCTGAAATGTCTGTCGACGACCTTGAAGCCGTGGTACGAAATTTGGTATCGCAGGTAGATAGTCTAGGCAAAGGTGCTCACAACAATCAAACCGTTCCTCAGATTGAGTTCAGCACAAATAATGATAAAGATCGCAATATCTTTGTCCCAGAGTGGAAGACATGGCTGAAAGAAAACGGCGAGATTCCTTTTCTCATCTCATACAAGCATCCCTCGGGGTATGGGTACTACGATCTACGAATTAACAGAATTAGGTGAGTAGATCTGTACCTTGGGTTCTTTGGAGACAACTACTAACGATGTCCATGTATAGCGCGCAGTTTCTCAGGAACGGCGGACAACCTTTCACTAATGTCAACTATGATATTACGCTTGGTCCGATTATGGTCGATCGAGATCCAGACGACAAATTGCACCAATACTGCGCTGACGAATTCCGCATCAAGAAGACTGATGATCAGGGAGATTGGACTTCTGCATCCCAAACCGACAGTGATGCGAAAATACTTCCAGCGCTGTTCACATCCGGTACTATTGTTTTGAGCCATACAGGTATCAGCAACATGAATCTCAGCGACGTAGCCGAGGTGAAGCTTCTGGTCTCTGCTCGCGGAACCCCATTGAAGAATGTCTCTTAGAAGTACTTGTCCAGAATTGAGAGAGCGCATACAATTATTAAAATGACCCTGGGACGTGCAGATGACGAAGAGTTCTGCGTAACAAGCCAAGAGCCGTCAAGATGTTGTGGGCAGACTTGCCATATGTATTGAGGAGCAGCAGTAGTCTTAGTGGAGGCTGTCCATGGAAAAGCGGAAAGTCTATGGGACCCTAACGAGGGACGTTTCTTGAGTGTAAAAGCGAGCTTTGCCGGTATTTCTTTGGCTTCAACACCTATGATCTACTATGGTACCTAGTAACCCTTATTGTCCTAGCAGCAGAAGTTTAACGACGGCAATCAGTCAGAAATTTTACTTGAATACCTAAAAGACAATATGTCTAAGCTTTATAGGAGTTGTAGTCTTATCTCCATAGCCACTAGACCATATCTAGCTTTTGTACATAGATAGTAATGCCAAGATAAAGCTTAAAATGGTTTAGTTGGTATTTCTTGTAATCTTACTGTGGGCCTATTGAGGCCAAATTGCGAGAGGGATTTTCAGCTTCTAGAGCATTGCGGGTTAGTCCAGAAAGTCATTAAACAAGGGTTTAATTAATCGTAGAGTGCTCCTTTCCGCCACGAAGCTTCGATGAACTGTACAATATTTATAAGTAGAAGCATATACTACTATTCACAGGCTAAATAACTAATTCATGGGTCCAGGTCTGTTGATGCCGGCCGATGTAGATTCTCCATATACCGACAAACCTAAGCGCCTTTTAAGGTAGCCTCTCTGAGAGTAATTATTAGCAGTGGTTTCTGGCATCCGTTTCCAGTGACCAAATAGCAAACAATATGTTATTCCCTTAATAGAGAGACTGAAGTTGTTTACAATCGTGGGGTTTCCACCGATCAATCAGTAACCTAGAACGGAACTAGGTATATAATTAAAATGACCTATGAGGCTTACAGCGAGTTGCATACGGGTACATATAGTGGTCCAGCACCTTCCCACATTTCCTAGATACTTTTCCTTCAGCCCTGAGTTACTTACTTCATTACCAAAACAGTTTCGTTTTTCTACATGTAACCAACCACCTTTCTGAAGGATGAACAGTGATGGTGAAACAAATATTTTCCCATCTGGCTAGGCTAGTTCAAATTCGCCGACCCCCCCTTGCAAAAGGCATGCGCTTTGACCTGCGGTTCATATATCACGCCTTTTAAAGTTTACCTAACTTGTGATTGGAGTTCTAGATTCCCAGGGGTCAATGAAGTCAAAGCTTCGTCGTCACCGGACTAACCTAGGCTTGGTCGCTTTGAGTGGTGCGCATCAGGTAGGTCATATCGATTGAGTGGAAATTTCAGGGGTGAATGTGTGCAACTAGCCAGGTCCGAGCGTAACAACCCAAGGACTAACTGTTTTACGGCTCAGGTAGATAGATAAAGGTAAATTCAGAAACTAAGAATACGAAAGACAAAGAACGCTAAGACGAACATTAGTAATGACGCGTTTTCATCTCAATTGTGGAACGCGTTTCATAAAGTAACTCTGGCCATCTTGCTGATTCCTACTATGAGTCACTAGAACACACAACATGTCCTCCTCAGCCCATACGCTACAGCCTATTCTCAAGAAATTATCAATTTCTCACTCACACCAAGAACAAGAAGCGAAGCGATCCCTTGTCTATCCCCTGGAAAACGAAATCTATCAGACCATATATGATATTGAAGACAGTTATGACAAACTCCTTTCCGCTATCGGACGCCTTGTCGGGCGTCTTTTCATCAAATCTCAGTCGTACCAAGATCTTTCGTTCGTTATAGAACAGTCGGCTGCCCGAAGCAAAGATTTTGTCTTTATCGTGGAGAATACGCTGCAGCGCCTCCAAATCACCCATCAGGCAGCACAAATTTTGATCGGAGGCGTGAGAAAGGCAGCACAGTCTTTAGTGTCTATCATAAATACGCAAGGGAGCAGTCGTGACCTTGATGACCCTCCCTTACGTATATCTTTCGACCTTGAACCTGTCTTTTCCTTTGCGATGACCCTTATCCGAGGGGCAAGTAAGCTATCATGGAAGACACATGACATTTTACAACAAATTGGCGAAGAATGCCAACTGTATCGACAAGTCTCAATATCTATGGGCATGGCTTCCGAGAGTCATATGTTGAGCGAACTTGAGAGACCGATTTCAGATTTCTCTATATCCCCAACACGATCTACAAGTTTAGGACAGTGTTCCGTACACTACACATCGGCAGAGCCCTTCGACGACAGATCAACATACGATTCTATCGGTTTCTATAGCGCAAGTCAGAAATTATCACAAAACGAGAGGTTCAAAGGATCAAGCAGCCATGACCAAATAAGTGGAGGGCTGCTTCAAAAGGAACGCCACGTCCATCCTCGCATCGCACGTTCTCAAGCCTGCGAGCCACATGGCGCTTACACAACAGATGATGAAGTGCTGAGCCCTGTCCAGGCTGAACGACGAATTAACTTCTCGAGATTACATCACGGGCCAAATCGCTGCAAGACCCTATTTACCAATTCCGCTTTTCCAGACACAGCAGGCAATCGAGCTGAGGGTGTACAGCACGACTTCAACGAGGAACTTCAATCATCAAAAGGATCCACACAAAGGAACACTTTTGAGTCACTTTCTTCTCCCGAAATCCCACCAAAGCTTGTTTTTGATGAAAACCTGGAGGTTATCGGTGGTACCCTCAATGGGTTCGTGGAGTATCTCACTTCACAACGCTCCATTTGCGACACGAGATTCAAGCACGCATTTTATCTTTCGTTCAGATTATTCTGTACGCCCGAAGGACTAGCAAAACAACTCATTGATCGATTCCACATCAGCTCAAAGTCTTCTGCCCCGAACAAGATTCAGTTAAGAGTTGGCGATATTTTTTTGAAATGGCTTGAGTTGTATTGGTGTTCCTGCGTTGATAAGGTTGTTATCGAGAGGATTGCTTCGTTCGCATCCAGTCTCTCTTCGACCCATCCGATCCTTAGCCAAAGGCTGATGGAATCGATCCAGCGCGTGCGTGGTCACACAATGCACAAGCCTTGCCCAACACTGGTCACTGATGAGGCTGCAGGTGTTATCGACGATGTGGTTCCCTCAAAGGCCATGGGACACCGAACTCAGCTAAGCCGCACAATACGGTCGAGGTGGAAAAGGCTTGGGGCCAGCATGCAGTCGTCCGACATCTTGACTTTCAACTCTATATCATTTGCCCACCAGCTAATCGTCAACCAGATGGGCCTGTTTTGCTCCATAAAGCCAACCGAACTTGTGGGCAGTGGGTGGATGAGTACTACTGTTGACTCCGCACCCAACGTTAGGGCAATGATACACTTCACGAACCAACTCTCATACGTTGTGATCGAGACCATCCTCCAATGTCGGACAAAGACCAGACGTGGTAACATAATCGAGCACTGGATCAAGATTGCACAGGAGTGCTCCAATATTCGCAATTACGATGGGCTGGTCGCCCTTCTGTCTGGTCTTGGGCATAGCTCCATCGCTCGGCTTCATCAAACGTGGAATTCAGTATCACCAGCGGCTCTACACGACCTGGAAGCGTTAAAGGGTTTTGTTAGTCCTTCGCACAACTTCAAATGCCTTCGGACATCGCTGAGATGTTCAAAACTTCCATGCCTGCCCTTCCTTGGGATGTACCTAACTGATCTGGTCTTTGTAGATACGGCTCACCCGTTAGTAGAACCGGACCTACAAAGTGAACTGGCATCTGGACAAGTCTACATACACTTTTCGAAGTGTCTCAAGACTGCAAAGATTATAAGACAGGTACAAAATTTTCAAACTCCATATCAGCTGCCAGAAGATCCACACATTCAGCAGTGGATATCTTCCAGCATGGTAGAGTTTGATAAGAGTAACACTTGCAATCTAGATACACATGCATATGAAAGAAGCTTAACACTAGAACCTCGTAATACAAAACAAGTTTAATTGTCCTTTGCATCAGTCATCATGACAAAGAAAATTATAGAGCCTTTTTGTCGCTGGTCTCTAAAATTCCTTGCCTGGCATGGTCTTCCAGATCTATCTTGGAAAGAGAAAGAACCAGGGCCAGAAGTCAGTGAAGTTAGAGGGGGCTGGAAGTGCATCCAGAGTCGGTGCATAAGTCCTGTCGAAGAGATTGTTAATTTTTGAGATGCCTCACTGTCTAGTCAATTCTTGTCCAGCTTATTCCAAGGTTGGTCAATGTAGCTGCCAGTCCGAGTCAACAGGCACGGCAGCGGATCCGACCACCAATACTGAAGGATTGTGAGCTGCACGTCGCAAGCTAAACTATAATAGGTGATAAAGATGTCTTAACAGAAAACGGGATGCTAGTATGTTTCATTGATCTGACGCTAACAATCCGGTGTCACTATACTAAGCGATGCTTCTTCAGGGGTACATTACAGGGATTGGAAATGGCTTCTTCGGCGAAAGGAAATAGCTGGGATTAGGGCACTGCAAAAAACGAGGCGATATTATGGATAGATATAGAAACAAGGCACCAGGTTGCAGGTAGGCAGAGCCAGAAAGTTAACCGATTTCAGCTCTATATTGCCAGGCATAGAAGTGGTGATGGGGTTTTTAGCAGGATGTTATAGCTAGAAAGACCGCAAGCCTACAGACACAGGCCCTTGTTTTGTTTATGGATTCTGATGTGTGTGATTGATGATGTCTGGGCAATTGAATATGAATTGCGGCTATTTTAGGAGCACTCTCACCAGTGATTTACCGAAATCCCAAACTTTACAGAGTAGCAAACACCATACGCTAATATCTTAGGTTCGGTAAGTGGGAAAGCTTCATCAAACAAGGCGTTGAAACTGACACTAGCAAAATCACACCACGCATCCCGAAACCCGGTTTAGCTCATGCTTCAGGTCCTCATGGCTTTCCGCGGCGTCGAATCCTATCACCGCGCGTCTTGGCCGCCATTGCATCACTATCTAGACCTCTTTAATTAAACTACTGCCAGATTGTCGGCCAATGC